ATTCTCCATAATGAAATTATCATTAAAATTATATGAACCTCTTTATAATATTGCTGAATAGTTTTCTTAATGGTGACAAGAAGCAATAGGCATAGGGGAAGTATCGACTGCTGTCCAGAAAGCTAATTATATTTTTGTCTTTTAACATCTTTGCAAATTTGGTGGATATGAGGTGAAATATTAGAATGGTTGCAGTTTGAGATGTCCAAGAAGCAGTTGGAGATGCATAACTGTAGCTCAGAAGGAGACCAGGGCTGGATATATATTTGAAGATCATCTGTAAAGAGATGATAATTAACTCATAGGAGCTTATGAGATCACCAGTGAGACAGAATAGAGCAAAAAGAGGAAGCTTAGGTCAGAGCTTTGAGGAGAGAACACCCACTAGTAGAGGAAATAGGAGAGAGGGAAGAGTATCCAGGAAAAGAGGGTGATTGACAATGTTATAATGCTGTAGAGGTCAATGAATATAAAGATTGAAAAAAGGCCAGTGGATTTGGCAAATTAAAAGATCACTGGTTCAGAAGAGACTAAGTGGAGAAGGAGTGATGCACCAAGTGTAGATGGCTTTTTCGAGAAGTTTGGGAGGAGAGATACAGAATGATAGCTACTGGGGATGGAAGCTTCAAGTTGAGGGGTTTTTAAGAACTGAAGAGACATGGACATGTTTATAAGCAGCTAAGGGGAAGGATCCTGCAGACAGGAAGACTGAAGATGAGAGAGAGTAAGGATGATAGTGGGGCAGATTTCTGGAGATGTCAGGATCCAAGACCTAGAGAAGTAATCAGGCCCTTCTCTATATCTGCTTTAGAAGATGTAGAAGAACAATGAATGAATTTGCATCATCAGTTTTTCCTTCTCTTAATAACAATGTGAATTGTTATTGAAAAGATAGTTTCTGGGGCACCTAGGTGGTGCAGTGGATAGAGCACCTGCCCTGAAGTCAGGAGGACCTGAGTTCAAATCTGGCCTCAGACCAAACACTTGGCACTTACTAGCTGTGTGACCCTGGGCAAATCACTTAACCCCAATTGCCTAAAAACAAAAAAGAAAAAGAAAAAAAAAGATAGTTTCTATAATAGGAGCATTGCTTATGAAAGGAGAGAAGCTAGACCTTCTTATCAAATTTGAAATAGTATCTAGTACCAGTATTATGTATTTAAGTATATGTTCTGAGCAAGAAAGATTAAAAACATCATTTTATAAAATCTGTATATTCTGCTTTTAAAACCCTTTAATGCTGTCATTGTTGTTCTATAATTTCTGAAAGTTAATTTACCTTTTGGGTTTATAAACTTGGTTTTTACTGATATTTAAATGAAAGTTTCCAAGAAATATTACAATTGATCTATGAGTTGGGTTAGAGGTTTTTAAAAAGTGAGCAATGTTTATGACCTTTGAGAAAAAGATTAATAGAATTTAGCTACAAATCGCTAAAGCAATTTCATCCTTTTTTCTGCTCACATGGCTCAGAAATATTTGCATTTCAGCTTTCAGGGTGACAGTTTATTGGCAAAAAAAAAAATCCGTGTATACAGTAAGACAAAATTATAGTTTAAGAAATGTATGGATTTTACTCAACAGTATAGCAAATATAGGGGCTGTGGATAACAAACATGAAAATTATCTCTACAATTTTGGCTTTACACTTTCTGTTATTAACTTACATAATTACATTCTAGAGGGCTACCTTTTTGGAGTCTTTTGCTATTTAATCAATTGAAATGCTTTTATTTACATATCAGGACCCTTTCATTTGATATGACAAACCAATTCATTGATCCTCATAAAGAAGGGCAAAAAGCCTTTGCCTTCAAGAAATTAATATTATAATGGGGGAAACAACATGTAAATAAGTACATAAATACATATGTACATATATATAAATATGTATGTACATATATATGTGTATATATATACATACACATAAATATTCAGAAAAAGAGAGGGGGAAGGGGCGTTATTTTTAAAATATCTTTAGATACTTTAGAGAATGGATCTCTACACCTGTGTCCAATTCTAACAAACATTGTACTGCGATTAATAAATTCCTTATTTGTAAAATGCTTGAAATCTTAAAAAATGTCCTAGTTCCAAATATTTTTTTTTCAGAAATAGGATCATAGATTTAGAGCTCTAAGGGATTTTATAGACTATCCCAATCCCCTCATTTTACAGATGAGAAATCGAGGCCCAGAAAGATGTGGTGATTTGCCTAAGTCACATAGGTAATAAGCAGCAGAGCCAGGATTCAAATTTATGTTCTCTGACTTTAAATCTAGCAAAGAACAACAAAGTCTTGAACATGTCCAGATCTTTCTATCATCCTGAACAGCCCAAAGAACCATTTTCACAAGCCTCGTTTAAATTCCATATCATTTGGCTACATAGTCAGAAGAATAGTGAACCAAGGCCCAGGGTTAAAAGCGTCCCAGCCCCAGTTATGTCTTTAAGATAGAAGGAAGCTTTTGGTCAGTGATGGCAAACTGGTGGTTGGAATTTTCAGGCTCAATGCTTACTTGTACATTTTATTTACTTTCGTAGACTTATTTGGCACAGGCTGCTTAATAGAGTCTTTGAAGATTCATGTAATCACTGTAATTGTACCTAATTACCTAATTGTATAATTATATTTAATTGCATCCATGGTGTTCATACACATAACACAAATTTAATTACATACCCCCCCTGTGAAATTCCGTGAGATCATCTTGCACATCTGCAGTGAGCATTTTGAAAGCTTAGGTAGCTGGTGTTTGTGTTTCCTTTTTTTTTTTTTCTCGCTTTGATAATTTTGAGAGTCTAAAAATTTTTGCCCTTCACTTTTATTTTCCATAAAATGGGGGCCATACATTTTCTGGCTATTTTACAGATGTTAGAAAGATAAATAAGATTAGCTTTTGTGAAACCCATTTGAGTTCTTTGTAGTAAGGCTATTATAAATTCTACACATTATTTCATTTCAAGTTATTAGAACTGGCTACTAAGAGTAAAAATTATTTGTCACTGACAGTGAACATCATCGGTCAATTCTTCGTATGATGTTTTTATAATGCACCTTTTTCTTTCGTTTATCATACTATGCAAATAACACTTCAAACACCAGGACGTTATCAATAGGTATAAATCATTGGCTCAGGCAACAGATGCTTATTGAATGCCTACTATGTGTAGTACAACAATGGTGAAGTATCATATCTCCAGTAAGTTCTAGACAAGCTAGAAAGGTTTCACATATAGACCCTGTGACATTGTTGTACCAGAGACCAGCCTAAATTCAGATAGGCTTATTTCAGGGCGGCCATCAATTGATGACTTTTTAGTCATAGCAACTCTTAAAGATCAAGTCGTAGAATGTGATCTGTCATGATCTGTTTTGGTAGTGAGTACCTACAAAATGATAAATCCTTGAAATATTAATACTATTCAGCCATATAATTTTCACAGCTCTTTCATGCATGTATATAATTTGATCATCAGAACAATTCTATGAGTTACTTAGGGCAGGTTCCATTTTGTAAATGACGAAAAAGGGCCAGAGAAGTTCAGTGACTTTCCCAAAGTCTCACAACTAATAAAAGGCTGAAGCAGAAGTAGGAGCCAGAAGTATTGACTCCTAGTCTCATATTCTCTCCACTGTATCACTCTGAGACATCATAAATGATCATGTAATATGTTATATTATTTACATGTCCTTTTCATATAGAATGCTGCTATCTCATACTGGCTTCCCTTCTAGAACATTCCTGATAGGTAGTCATTCAGTCTCTGCTTTCTAGTGATAGGAGGTCACTGTCAAACAAAACAGACTTCTCTATTATGGGATGGCTCTAATTATTAGAACATTCTTCCTTATAGTGATTAGAAATCAGCTTCTTTCTAACTTCTCCGCATTATGTGCCCTAACTCTGTCTTCTTGAACAATGCCAAGCAATTATATCTATTCCTGACAACATAAGAAAATCTTTCAAGCATTTAAAAGCAATTGTTACGTCCATTCTCTGGCCACCCCTTCCTCCTCACCAAATACTCTCTTCTCTAGGCTCAATGTCTTCTATTTCTTTAACTGTTTCTCACATATAAAAGGTTTTCTGATCTCTCACCATCCTGGTTCACTCTCCTCTTGGCCCACTTCAACTGGTTGATAGGCCTTCTAAAATGTAGCATCTAGAACTTAAAGATGCCAGGTGTGGTCTGACCACAGCAGGACTGTTCATTCTCTTTCTGTGTGTGTGTGTGTGTGTGTGTGTGTGTGTGTGTGTGTGTGTGTATACATACAACCTAAGGTTGTATTGGCATTTTTGGCAACCATATGACAATACTGTTTTCTATAGTAAGATTGTTACATATAGTCAGTCACATGTTAACGTGGTATTGGGGCCAATATTGTTGTCTTAATTAAGTTTCTGCTCTCTTGGTTTGCATTTAATTTTTCTCATAAATATACTAAAGCTTTTATCTTAACTTTTGTGTCATTAAGATATAGCATTTTATCTAGAACATTTTATTTTATGAAATCAAGCATTAGTAAAGAATCACTATATTGGACTCCCACCTGAATGATTAATATTCATGAAATACTTTGAGGGACTTGAATGAAAGCTTTATTATTATTATTATTTCATGAACTAGGTGAATACTACCATCCAAACATAAACTAAATTATTAATCAAGTTGAAAAGAGAGCAAGGAAGACCACCAATATTAAATTATAAATCTACTGGAATTCAAACATTATACTGAAAATGTAGCTGTGTCTATATATCTGGATTTTAACTGTTTTCACAAGTTCATTATGACTATTCAAGTCTAAAATCAAACATTTAAGATTTAAACATTTATTTAAGATTTAAAATCCCTGTTATTAACTTATAGCCTCTAAGTAAAACTTGTTTTCTGTGACAAGAACCTTTTTTTCTTCCAGGTTTTTTTTTTTTTACGTAATGCCACACCATACTTAAGAATCTAACCTGTTTTTAAATATTTTTCTTTATTTCTAGCTAACCTTACAGACACAACAATGTCTGAAAACTTAGAACAGAGATTCAGCAATCTCTCCTGGGATCAAGTTAAAATACTAGATCAAGTGTTAAGTGAAGTGATACCAATTCATGGAAGAGGAAATTTTCCAACACTGGAAGTGAAAACAAAGGATGTCATCCTTGTGGTACAAGATGAGCTCCAAAAAAGAGAGATCATTATTAAAGATATCCGTCTGAATGGTTCAACAGCTAGCCACATCCTTGCAAAGCAGAAGGGAACCACTTACAAGGATCTCGACATCATTTTTGGTATTGGGTATCTAGGTGAGCGAGAATTTCATGTTGTTAAGGAGGGTGTTCTGAATTGTCTGCAGGACTTCTTACCAAAAGGTGTCAACAAAGAGAAGATTACGACCTACACCATGAAAGATGCTTATGTTCAGAAGATGGTGAAGGTTTCCAATGAGCATGACCGCTGGAGTCTCATTTCTCTGTCAAACAACACTGGGAAGAACATGGAATTCAAATTTGTCCATTTGCTTAGACGTCAGTTCGAATTCAGTGTTGATTCCTTTCAGATAATCCTAAACAACCTTCTTGCTGTCTACAGAGATGCCAGTTATGTCTTGAGTGAAGACTCCTCCCCTGTTATTGTGGCAGAGAGCATGTATGGAGACTTTGAAGAAGCAATGAATCATCTGCAACACAAGCTTATTTCCACCAAAAACCCTGAAGAAATTAGAGGTGGAGGCCTTCTCAAGTACAGCAACCTACTGGTCCGTGATTTCAAACCAGCAAGTGAGACGGAAATCAAAACTCTGGAACGTTACATGTGTTCCAGATTCTTCATTGATTTTCCTGATGTAACAGAGCAACAAAAGAAGATCGAGTCCTACCTGCGAAACCATTTCATAGGCGAAGAGAGGAGCAAATATGACTACCTTATGACCCTGCGTGGTGTTGTCAATGAAAGCACCGTCTGCCTCATGGGGCATGAGAGAAGACAGACCCTGAATATGATCACCATTCTGGCTCTGAAAGTGCTTGGAGAGCAAAACATCATACCCAACACAGCCAATGTAACCTGCTATTACCAGCCTGCTCCATATGTTACCGACAGAAATTTCAACAGCTACTATGTGGCTCATGGACATCCATTCATCTATCAGTCATACCCACTGCACATTAATGTGCAGGGTGGTTTGGTTTAAGTAAAACAAAAGCAGAAAACCAGCTGAAATAAAGACCTCCTGAAAGCAAGTTTTCAAATCCCATTGATTTTAGGATCTTTTTTTTTTCAGGTTACCAGTTATTTCCTCTCAGTCACAGTTTGTACCATCTACCATTCATAAAGGCAGACCATGAAAAAAACCCAAATTAGAAAACAAGAAACTAACTATGACTTTACCATTTACAATGACTTTTGAGTGTTCCTAAGAAATGCATTAGAGGTGTTTTCATCTTTGACAGAAAAGAAGAAAAGACTAGTTTCCAAGTAGAGGCATAGTGATGCCAAGTACCACAAAGTTTTATAATTAAACATGACCAGAACTGTTTTTATCACTTAAACCTTGCAGTTGCCACGTCAAGAAAATATTCAAGCATTCAACAAGTAGAAATGCCTAATTTCAGAGGTCCCAGATGAAGGATGCATGGATTGTCTTTTAATCAAATATAGGGTCAAATGCAAAAATCTTACCTTACATAGTTCAAAAATACTTTTGAGAAAGTAGGCCGTCGATCATTATCTCACAAATGAGACTTCTGTTTATTATAGAATTGATAAAATTCTTTTGTGAGTCTATGTGGATGAAAAGATGAAAAACCATCTAATGTACAATAGATATACTGATTACTTGTACAGGTCATTCTGATTTCCTCACTGAATGATAAATGATAAATTCCACATGCAGAAGTGTTTTGTAAACAATTGGCCAACTAAAACACAAGCTAAATGGCAAACAGAAAAAAAAACCCGGCAGGTTTGTGGCATTTTGAAAATTTTTCATAGTGGCATTTACAATTTCATTCTAGATTTGTCCTCTATTTTAAGATGTCTGTGTGTATAGGATAGGAGCAGATGATCCCACAAAGAGGAATGAAGCATTTAGAGTTTCTTTTTGTCTTTACCAAAGATCAGTTTCCAGCATGCCACTTGAGTACCAGCCTGTGTCAGTTTTCCCCTGAATGCTGTAATGTATTCTACAAGTGGACCTGCTCCATGCTGAATTTTCTAACGTTGACTTAGCAAATCAAACATGTTGTTTGCAAATCTGCCTATGAGATAAAACATTTTTGTTTTTTTTTCCCCTCTTCACATACTTATTCACCTGTGAACAGTACTCTAGGGAATGATGTGGAGAAGGTGAAGGTAACCTCCAAGGTAAACTGTATGTAACACTGCTGGAAGACTCCCAGCACTTTTTCTGCTTTCTGATTTGCATTCTTGTTCTCCATTTTACACTGTGTTACACAGTTAAGCTTGTTCCCCTACCATATTATGCTTCTTTCTTTTAAGGATCACATATTAATTTTAAACTATTAAGTATTTCAACCAGGTTTTCTTTATAGTCGTACCTGACACAAAAGTACACAAATCTGCTATTTTCAACTAGACAATATTTCTGAGATCTGACATTTTTCACACCACTGCACAATCTTCTCTGTGTGTGTATATACACATATATATAACTTAGATCTTTAGTTGTTTTTTTTTTTAATATTGATTTCAATGTCATATGGCCTCATTTCTTTGCTAGTGTTTGGGACAAAGTATGAAAGTAATATACAAAAGGGAAAGTCTACACTAATAATCTACCCCTGAGTGGTAGATAAAGACCAGGTGCAATTTTCTCATTGAAAGATAGTAAGTCAGATTTCACCCTCAGCATATTCTTAGTTGAAATCATTGATGACTGCCTGTGCATAAAGAACAAAGGGCCATTTGCTTTATTATATGCTTATGACACATAAAACAATCTGACAAGAACACATGTGAAAATCATCTGGTGAAATCTAAAGAATTATAACAGTAATGGTGAGTCAGTAGAAAACAATGTTATCTGCAAGTAGCATTTTACCTTGAACCCTAGCCATTTGAAAGTATTTGGGTATACCCATCTGCTTCTTAAATGGGTCAACAGGTGATGTGACTTCCTTATAGCCTACAAAGGAGAATGCTCAAGGTGTTCTGCTGAGGGGGCTGTCACTGGGACCCCAATTACTCCTGGCAAATTAACCTGTTATGAGACTTTGATGGCAGCAAAGCCACACACTTCTCTCTTCGATATACTTTTCCATTGGAAGACAAAATTTATTGATATTTACATTACATATTTTCTGTTTAGTGGGAACCCTAACCTGAAACTACAAAGGTATTAGTAGAGAGAAAATCAGTTTTTTAAAGGGGATAATGAATGGCATTGATTTTTTTTCAGGCTTCCTCTGCCCAACCATCTCCCCAAAATATTTTTTCTGGAACTAGACTCTCCTACTGCATAAGCAACTCATATAGAGTAAGCTGGTGCTTTGGGAAGCTGTATTATTTCAGATCATTGAGAAATTAGTTGGGACACTTCTCACTCAGACAACTGAAGAGTGACCTTTGGACCTCCTGAGGGAGTACAGATCATGCAAGACTCTGGTTCAATATTGTACATAATTCCATTTTAGGGGGTGGGAAGTGTTACCCTTACACATTCCCCAACCCATGACCATCTTTGCATGTATTCTGGGCTGCTGAGGCTTACAGAGTTAGACTGACTTCCTAGAGAACCCATCTGAAAGAACATCTTGGTCTAGTACTAGAATTTCACCTGGTGAAACAACTTTATTAACCCACAAATGTAGAGTTCTTACTACCAGAATAGTCTCATATTTTATGGATATCAAACCTATTGCCAATTGGAAAAGTGATTGGGTAGGGGATTTATGACATATGTAGAAACCTTTCCTTAGCCAATGTGTTAAATGTCCATCTTAGAGAAAATTGGAATAGTAAGATTAAGCCTTTTGGTTAGGAAGTAGCCTGAGTTTATTTTAAAACATGAAACAAGAGCTAGAGTGGTTGGGCCTTCCTAAAGAAGTTGAGCAGTACCCAAATACTTAAACGTTTGATTATAGTCTCAACTCAGATTAATCTGAATTCAAAAGCTACAGTTTTTTTGTCAAGAAGTTGAGTTTAGTGTACTGTTTCATGAATCTATCAAGTGTTAGAAACAAAGAAAATCCCCTTTGTTTTTGTATTTTTGAAAGAGCATCAAGTAACATAGGTGAGCTATCTATCCTAAATGCTTTTCTTCATTCCCACAGGGATTAAATAATCCCTATGACCCATGTGGAGCCAAGACACCAAAGACAATGATTTATGCTAGAAAAATGAGACAATAGGTATAGTTAGCATCTGTCAGGTTACGCGTAGAAGGCATTTCTGGGAAGAATGTGGCCAAGAGGGAGAATTTCTTTACAAAAATTGTACTTGTGGGACCCAAGTTTAAATTGATGCCACTGAATACTGGCATTAATGCAAGCGGTTTTAAAATGAATTATTACGTGGCACTTATTTCTATACAGATCAGTGATGACATTTGGACCATCTCCCTTGAGTGTCAATAGTTTGCTCTGACATTATAGACAGCCCTGGATGCTCATACTCACTTCTCTGTAGTAGAGGTTACCCAGAAACCCACAAGTGAATTATTGATTTAGCATATACACAACCATGGACGTATCAGAGTGTGGTCTCTATGAGAATGATGGCAGTGATGAGTGTGCTAAAGTGCCTTTGCACTACTATCATATTCAGCAGAAGTATATCATTTTCAGTGAGGAGTCCTTTACAGAGAAATCATTTCATATGCTGGATCACCAATAAGAGAACCAAATTTAACCTATCAAAAAATTGGACAAAGAAAGCATAAACAAGAAATTTCTATACACACTTGATTTAAACCTCAAAGGAAATCCTAATGAGAAATTTGGAGCTAAATTAAGAAATCTAGCCAATTACCTCCTAAATGAGTCTTTTAAAAGATAAGCATGTTTTAATTTTCCTTATTTAAAAAGTGGCCCATACCCCTATATATGAAATTAAAAAGTAGTAATCAGAATGTAAAAGGGGACATCTTGGGGAAAGAGTTTTGAAAATTACTTTTGTTAAATCAAGTAAGTGACTTCTTGGAAAAAAAGTACATTAAATGGTTTCTGTGTAAATTATTTTCTAAATAAGTTTCAGAAGTTCTGTAGGGTAACATTGGCACACAGCTTAAAAGGCCTTCAAAAAGCTTTGATCATTCATGGAGCAAGCCCTACCTAAATCTCCACTATTTCCTCCAGATTTGGTTTACATTAGAGTTATTTTAGCTTGATGACAGCAGAAGCCCTTTAAATATGAGACTGAAAAATCACAACAGCTTTTTGAAGGTTAAAATTTCATTGTTTTCAAAGGTACCCAAGGGGTAGCTAGGCGGTGCAGTGGATAAGAGCACCGGCCCTGAAGTCAGGAGTATCTGAGTTCAAATCTGGTCTCAGACCAAACACTTGACACTTACTAGCTGTGTGACCCTGGGCAAGTCACTTAACCCCAACTGCCTTAAAAATAAATAAAATAAAAGTACCCAAGTCCATTTTTACCCAATGGAAAAAGCATGATCATCTCTTCGGTAAATAATACAAAAGCTGGGCCAGAGAAGTTATTTGATTTTAGAAATGTGGAAGCATCTGATTAATATATCATAACTAGAAATTTATATGAAATCAATGCATATTTACTGAGTTGATGAGAATACCTCTAAAGAGGTGTCCAAATTTTTAAATTTTCCAAATGTCGACATTTATTTGCCCCAAGAGCAACCATTCATAACTTTTCCCACTACCTGCTAATATTAATGATACCATTCTCAGGGTGAATAAATTCAATTTATTCCCACTCAGAATCTTACGAAAATTAAAAGAAATCTATATCAAGCTTAATGCTTAGCCTAATAACTACCACTGCTTGCTTAGGGTCAAGCAGGATTTTGATTACATGAAGGGCAGTCTAATTCAATGAAAGAGGCTTTCACGCAGTTACGCGGGAGAATTCAGTTTAAGAGGTGTCAGATTGTTCAGGATTTCCCTTATTAAACAGTGGTATAGTAGCCTTAAGAATTCAGACGCTATAATTCTGGAGATGAATGTGTACTTTTCAATCTGAATAAAGCAGTAATTCTAGGCATTTTAAAGGAGGAAAATATCTTAATTTGATTGCTCTGTTAAATAAGATGCCAGAGTTGAGATTGATGTAAAATTGCACTTTGAGGGGGGAGGAGTTGAAAGAAGTAGTTAATGGGCTGGCGTCTTAAGCAAATCTCAAAAAATTATTTTTTTAAATAATCAAAACATTAAAAAAACCAGATTTTAGTTTAGAATCAAATTTGTAATAAATAAGTCAAAATTCACAAAATATTTTTGAAATAATGTTTCCCATAGAATGAACTATTTTTAAAACCAATAAACCTTTACAAATTATAACAGTATTACATTTGTTGGTTAATTTTGGTTCAATATATTTCAAAAGGAGAGCCTCCAGTTTGCCTATTCTGTCATTGCCTAAATTTGCTACACCTCAGCCTGCTCAAACTGGGTAGGAGGTATTCTAGTTTGATGGCCACATTTTCAAGTTTGACTTTCATGTAGCTAATACAACTTGGTATGCCAGCTGACAGATGACTAACGTTAGAGCTAAAGGTGACACAGTGTGCTCAGAATTGGTAAAGACATTTTGTTGCTGCTCTTTAAAAAAAAAAATCTAAACACATCTGATAAAATACACTTGCATTGTGCCCATGACGGGATGCCAAATTGAATTAAACAGAGTTTGAATTGGCTCTGGACAACTGAGCCTATTTGTAGGGGGCCATCCCAGTACCTGGAAGTTCCAGTTTCATCCAGATAAGACAAACTGACTGAACCCAATCAGAATATTTGTTTCTTATTTAGTACAGTTGCCCTGTATAGACACAGCCTTATTTTTTTTTAATTGAAACACCACATTATTTCTATTTCATGTCAATCACCAAGAGGCTAAATGTTAAAGAGGGACAACTACATACAATATCAAAAGAGAACAAAAAAATTAAACAGGTTGGATATCTTTTGTAGTATGCAAAAAGGGCCCAGACTTCATCCCTGCAGCTGAAACAGTCCATCCACACATCGCATGACAATCAAGATGGATCATGAAGATACTAGAAGTGACCAGTCTGGCTCCTCATGATCTGTTTATCTAGTCATGATATTGTTAGAAACAATAAGATTCCTGTAGCTCTTGTATATATTGGCATGAAGTCACTCATAGCCACTCAAGGTAGTGGCAATACCTTTAAATGCTTATTTGAAAAGTGTGTAGTTATAAAGTTCTTCCTTTAAACAAAGTCTCTTGGACATTGAAGGGCCTAGCAAGGTGGAGAAGTGAGGTAATTTTCTGGGTAATTAAAAAAAGAAACATACTGTTGAGAAAAGAGGAGAGGAGAAGAATCACTTACCTAGATGATTGGTCTTCATGGCCCTAGTACACTGGATAAATGACCAAACCTTCATAATCATTAGGCATGAGGGGGAAAAAAAAGTCAATACAGTTATTCCAATGGGATATAGACCAATTCCTCTGATTGAGAATAAACCTTTCTAATGTAGAATTTGCTTCAGACAAGAAGTGTCTGACTTCAGAAAGAAAAAGTAAGGCAGGCATGGAGAATCCATAAAACAATTACCTTATAGATTTCTTTTGAGCCTTACCTAATTCAAAAACAGTTGTTCAGACTCAAAGAAAACATAGGCAATTGGGGTATAATTACTGAGTGAGAAACAGTTGATATGGGATAGAAAGAGATAGAAACCTCCGTTACCCAGAGACCTCAGTGAGTTTGCTGTCGGCCTGTGATTTTCTGTATTGCCCCATCAGGAAGACCTGTGTTTTCACATCACACACAACAGTTGATAAGAGCAGTGCATTCATATAGCTTTATAAAGGCTTTTAGGTGTCTTATCTTGTAGTTCATGTTGCTATAGTTTTAATTTTTACTACAATCATTTTGAAGTGTTTTCAAGTGTTGGCCACGCTTCTCTAAATGAAAGTTTTATGGATACCACAGATGGAGCACCTGTAAGGTGACTATGAAATGTTTAGAATCAGTTGGCTAAGTAAGATATATAGTTCTCTTTGTTTTAATGTTTACTATAATCCAAATTTGAATGATCCTTTTACTGTTTTCTGATTATTGCTAGTATGTTCGTGTCTAAGTAAGAATTGCATGTTCTGTTTTGGAAAGTAGTATTTTATTGTTGACAGAAGTTGTAATGTTCTATAAAAAGTGTAGGGTTTTGTGGTTAAAAAAAAACACCAAAATTTAAAGAAATAGATTCTACCATTGTAAGCATATTCTTATTTTACCCCTTGTTTGATTTGATGTATTCTATGCCTTTCTGTGAATTGTGTTGAATAAGCATTGTGGAGACTCTGTTATTAGATTAAAATGAGTTCTGAAATAAAATTCACTGTGAAACACGCAGCAATGTGTCAGTACTTAATGGATCAAATGCTCATTATTTCAAATGCCACCAATTAAATGTATGTAATGTGTTTGCAAAAGTACTTAGAAAAAAATCCTCCCCTGGAATTTGGACAAAATCCCCATTGACTTCATTAGAAGTCATACGTGAGGAATATAAGGGGGGGAATGGCCCTCAGAGTGTCTAATGACTCTAAATAATTCATTTTTACCATTTATAATAGATTAACCAACAGATAACCCTTCTCCACACAGTATAATTATACAATGGCGTATGTTACATTTACTTGCCAAACTTGGTTTGATTTACAATTGTATTGTTCATTTCTTCTCTCCCTCAAATAGGACTCAAATCTTCTGCTTGGCAAAAGCACAAATGGTGTTGAAATAAACTTGATGGTAGCCACATTAGAGGCTATAACATGGTATCTGCTCAAGAAGTATGCAGCAATTCTTGCTAAGGGGAAAAAAGGTGCTATGGAAAGATTATTTTAAAGGACAGAGGGTATGGGATATAGTCTGCCAATTAGACCATACTGATTGGTGTTGCTATACTTCTCATGATAGACTGAGGGCTAGTCTCAATGCCATCCTGTTTGGAATTCAACAAAATATTAAGAAACACCCTTTACAAATGACAGTGTAATCATATTTTCTGTATTTCATATTAATCACAAATTAACCCTGAAGTGACAAAGCTGAGTAGAGTTGGGTATAGTCTCCACTTTAAAACAATCAAAAAAATATCAGACAGCTTGAGCATCTTCTGTAATATTCAAGGAAGCCATTAATGTTATTCCTATGCCAAAGAAAGTATGTAAGAAAGTGTACTTGTGTAGTGAAATAACAAAGGAAAGTGAACTATATTAACATCAATGTCCTTTAAGGACAAAAAACAATAGTGCTCTCCTGGGCAGCACAATTTGCATGTGGCATGCAATAAAGTAAGGTGACAAGTTAGAATTGTGACCTGTGTTCATAAAAATGAACCATATGGTAGGGCAGTATATGTCACTGATTATATTGGAAACAGAAATGGGAATTGTTTGCTAAGGGAACCCTGCCACTGATATGATGAAATAATCTGTTCAAGGATTTGCCATGTTCATTGGGCCTGGAGGCTTTCAGAACTGCATTTGTACAGACTTCTTCCTGTACCACTGCCCAGACTTGCCATTCCCAGCCAAACAGGACCTCCCATACCCTTTGCAGCAACATCCCAAATTAGCCACTTGAATTTATTCTGTTTATTTTTCTTAAAAACATAGCAGGATTTTTTTCTTTTCCCTGAACGCAAGATGCAAATGCACTTAAAAATATTAGAATAATGCTGATCAGTATATTTCATTTTCTGTCATATTTCATATGAAACACTATTACATAAACAAATTGCTCTTCCCAGCTGCTTTCACATACATCTTTTTTTTTTTTTGCATCCTGTGTCATTACAGAATCTTTATTTCTAAAATCACAATTAGTAGCCATAGAAAGCACTAAAACATCATAATCTGTTTTTTAAATGCAGTTGGGACACTAAATGAGTACATTTGGGAAATGAACTCCACGTACTTTTCAATTCTGTTTTCTAACTTTGACACATGAAAGACATAAGATAGATTTCATGGAGCAAAATAGAAATCATAGAATGGTAGAACTGGAAGGGACCTTAGAGATCATTGAGGTAATTCTACTCGCCTATTTTACAGATGAAGACACTGAAGTCCAGAGAGACTGTGGAATCTGTCCAAGGATATGGGGCAGTCTTCTGGCTCCAAGTGTAGCACTCTTTCCTCTAGTGAATATGAGAAGGGTTGGAGGTCAAATGGAGAGTGGGGCTCCATGAAATTATCTTACAAGGCAGACAGCAATGGAAAGAAATGGCAGGAATTGCCAACTGTTGGAGCAGAACTATAAAAGAGAAAATTAAACAAGAAAATATTCCACATGAGTGTGATCTA